GTTTATCTCCGTGGATTTAAAGGATGCTTATTTCCACATTCAGGTAGCCCCCCCGCCACAGGCGCTTCCTGAGATTTGCATTCGAGGGGATAGCATATCAATTCACGGTCCTTCCCTTTGGTTTTTCCCTGGCCCCTCATATGTTTACGAAGTGCATGGATGCTGCTCTCTCTCCTCAAAAGCAGAGCGGAATGCACATCCTGAACTATCTCGACGATTGGCTAGTCTTAGCCCAATCAAAGAGCGCGCTGCTCAGCGACAAGCTCAGACTTCTTGCTCATGTTCAGAGCTTAGGGCTGACTGAATATGCAAAAGAGCATGCTGGTACCGAGCCAGAGCATCTCCTTTTTAGAAGTGGAGCTGAATTCAATCAATATGCGAGCGCGTCTGTCGGAAGAGCACACACAAAAACTGATCAGCTCTCTTGCAGTCTTCAAGCTAGGACACTCCCCCGCTGAATTGCTTTCAGAGGACGCTCGGCCAGATGGCTGCCGCCTTAATAGTGTGCAAATTACGATTCCTACATATGCGACCGCTTCAGCTCTGGCTGAAAAGTCGCATGCCACAGAGTGCATCGTACCTTGCGTGTACGAGTAACGCGCGACTGCTTGAAAGCGCTGACCCCTTGGCGCGATATGACACTGTATCGCCGGGGTGTTCCTATTGGCCAAGTGATCAGGAGAAAGACTGTTACAACAGATGTATCGAGCACGGGTTGGGGAGCCGTATGCGACGGCTGACCAGCCTTCGGGACGTGGTCAGAAACGGAGAAGTTGTGGCACATAAACTGTCTGGAGCTCCGTGCTGTACACCTAGCGCTCGAGTGCTTTCTCCCGGACATTCTCCACTGTCACGTTCTCATCAGGACGGACAACATGACAGTGGTAGCGTTTATAAATCACCAAGGGGCTGCTGCGGCTGGCGAGAGACCTTCTTCTGTGGGCAGATCAACACCTCCTCTCCATCCGGGCAGTACATGTACCCGGACGCCTGAATCACGGCGCAGACTTACTGTTGAGGGGCGAGGTGATCCACGGAGAGTGGAGATTACACCCTTTGACAGTCAATATGATTTGGAGTGTATTTGGCGGGGCGGAGGTGGATCTCTTCGCATCAGTGGAGAACACTCACTGCCCGCTGTTTTATTCACTGACACTGTCTCCCCTGGGAGTGGATGCACTAGCTCAGAGCTGGCCGAAAGTACACAAGTATGCCTTTCCTCCAGTGAAGCTTCTTCCTCGCGTGCTTTGCAAAATCAGAGAGGAAAGGGAATCTGTTCTGTTAGTGGCACTGAAATGGCCTAACCAGCCGTGGTTCCCAGAACTAGTAGAGATGCTGGTAGCCCCCCTGTGGACTGTCCCACTGAAGAGAGACCTCCTCTCTCACGCACAAGGAATGGTATGGCACCCAAATCCAGAGTCATGGAGCCTTCATGTCTGGCCACTCAACGGGGCTTGCCAGTAACAGATGCACTTCCTCAGCGCGTGTTGAACACTATCTCTGAGGCTAGAGCTCCTTCTACGAGGCGTCTTTACGCACATAAATGGAGAATTTTCACAAATTGGTGCGTATCGCGGGGCAAAGACCCATATAACTTCCCAATACCAATAATTGCCTTCCTTCAAGAGCAATTTGATAGTGGTCGTATGCCATCCACATTGAAAGTGTATGTGGCCGCTATAACAGCCTTTCACGTGCACGTCAATAATCGCCCAATCAGCAGAAATTACCTGATCATACGATTTTTAAAAGGAGCAAGAAGGCTGAACCCTCCTCGCCCTTCCACCCTACCCACTTGGGACTTGGTTCCACTAGACGTCTTTACGCACATAAATGGAGAGTTTTCACAAATTGGTGCGGGTCGCGGGGCGAAGACCCATTCAACTACCCAATACCAATAATTCTTGCCTTCCTTCAAGAGCCAATAAAAAAAAAGAAGCCCGTTCGAGCCCATACCCATACTATCAGTGAGCTTGCGTGTGCTCTCTCTCAAGACAGCGCTCCTGCTCGCGCTGGCCTCTGTTAAGCGAGTTGGGGACCTGCAGGCGCTGTCAATTGACGACTCGTGTATTGAATTCGGGCCAGGTGATTGCAGACTCACCTTGAAGCCTAGAAAAGGTTATGTGCCTAAAGTGCTTTTGACTCCATTTAAAGCGCAGGCCATAACACTATCTGCTTTCCGCCCCGAAACACCGGCCGGGGTGGAGCTGCTTGATACACTCTTGCTGTGCCCTGTACGAGCGGTGCGCTCTTATATCGAGCGCTCTAGACAGTTCAGACTCTCGGAGCAGCTATTTGTATGTTTTTGAGGGCGCACAAAAGGGCCTGCCTATGTCCAAGCAAGGCTGTCACACTGGATCGTCGACGCAATTGCTTTGGCTTATAGCTCTAAGGGCGTGGAATGTCCTATAGGGGTTCGGGCCCACTCAACCCACGGACTCGTGTCCTCGTGGGCCTGGGCAAATCGCATATCTATTCAGGACATTTGCATGGCGGCAGGCTGGTCGTCACCCAACACTTTCGTGAGGTTTTATAACCTTGTTGTGTCGTCGCTTGCCTCACATGTGCTGTCAGTGCGAGCGGCACACCCACCTTCTCAGACTCAGTTATGAGCTGAGCTGCATGCCTAAGTGGTTTCGACCAGGTCGTATACACCCCTGTACTGACGCGCCACCAATCCAATGCTGCTCCCTATCAGCTCACCACATTGTTATGATATAGTTCATCACATCTTTTAGGACATGATCACCATCATACTCATGCTTATTTGAGCACCGGTTCAGCCGTTGTATCACAACCACTGTGTCGTTGCTTGCCTCACATGTGCTGTCAGTGCGAGCGGCACACCCGCCTTCTGATCTGAGCTGCATGCCTAAGTGGTTTCGACCAGGTCGTATACACCCCTGTACTGACGCGCCACCAATCCAATGCTGCTCCCTATCAGCTCACCACATTGTTATGATATAGTTCATCACATCTTTTAGGACATGATCACCATCATACTCATGCTTATTTGAGCACCGGTTCAGCCGTTGTATCACAACCACTGATTTATATAATGTTCTCAATTATAGATCAGTGATCATAACACACAATTTCATTGAAATTAACAAACTTCAACTGGTCTATATATGTGATGGCGCCGGCGCCATTTCATATTCTCTGTTTTACCAGCGTTAACTCCGCCACTGGTGTGACGCGGCATTGTCTAGTGGCCCCCCCCTTGACTTTTACATGGTTTCGACTAGGTCCTGTAGACCTGAGCTGTGTTTAACAAGAGCGCCAATATCATTGCCGCTCTCATTACGGTTCCGTATGTGAAACTTGACATACTTAGTCAAGCCAGGCTCCATCGCTGTGACACGGCGGGATTTTATACGTTACCATAGCAATGTAGAGTGACCGAATCGAAAGGGAACGCTCTCGGTTACTCACGTAACCTCGGTTCCCTGAGATGAGGGAACGAGACATTGCTCTTATTGCCGTGTCACCTAGCTCAGGATCTTAGAATGCCAAGTTGCTTCAGTCAAGATTCTGAATGGATGACGTACAAGCGCTGCTTTATATAGAGTGGGAGCCCCTCATATTTCCCGCGCTTGAACGCCATTGGCCAGTTTCACTGGCGTGATTCAATAAGGCTTCAGTAGTATTTGGAGGAAAGGGTAATTCCCATAGCAATGTCTCGTTCCCTCATCTCAGGGAACCGAGGTTACGTGAGTAACCGAGAGCGTTCTCGCGTGCATACACATCTACCCCACAACCCTAACCCTACCAATTGCGTATCATATGCACGCCAAAGACAATTTTTGCATATAAACAGTATGCCAAATCGAAACATAAACTCATGCTATTGATACGCAATTTCATGAGATCGGGTTGAAATTTGCAAGCAGAATAGGAGAATGCTGATTGTTGCGGTTGTGTGCTTGAGTCATCTTTTCTACCTTGTGATGCAGTTTGGTACAAAAATATGTCAGGATAGTAGATTTATACTTTTGTCAGTGACCCACCTTTCAAGAGCGATACTGTCATTTAGTTACTTGAACCAACGAATCATAACCTCAGACTGAGTTTCTGACTACTAGTTTCATCATTATTTAAAAATACATAAAACCATGTTGAATAACCAGTGCTGTGTCTGTTATTGTGTTTGCAAATGCGTATGAAAGGAGGCGCTTAACCTTCACAAAATGCTGATTTTCCAACTCATAAGGTCGGTGTCAAATATATGTTAACAATTTTTGCAACCCTGTTATCAAAATTTAAGACATGTCTAAATAGTTTAGAATCATTTTTTAAGTAATAAAATAGTTTTATATACATTGGAATGGGTTGAAGTTCAATTATGTAATGACTGAAATTAATGCAAGGCGTTGTGCAGTAATTATTACACCGGCTATATTCACACTTGCAAGCCTTTAGTGCTCAATTCCGATTTTTTTTTTTTGTATAGCTTGCTCACATTGTGGCCAATATCAGACTCCCAGTGTGAACCGATTATGGTTCTGAACTGACCTGCATGCACAAAAGAACAATACAGGGTTGCCAGATTTTCACAAAATCAGCCAAATTGCTTCTCAAAACTAGCCCGATCATGTTCCGGTGGTAAATATCACATTAGTGGGATCACTTCAGCCCACGAAGTTGAAAAATGACCTGCGGCAACAGTGGAAAAAGTAACCCAATTCCGCTGGAAAACTGTGGACTTGGCAACACCTGCGCAGTGCGCTATCATATGGAAATAAAATATTTGGATTTGGGCCACATTTGCCAGCAGTGTGAACAGAGCCAAAATGTCCATTTTTTTATATCAGTGCTGATAATTAACCAGTGCACTATTCTGATTTCCAGTTATAGCAATCAGACATTACCATTAATTAAATTTTTTGCAATAGTTTGTGTGTCAGCAAACCAGACTAGATTCACTGGCAACGCATTTTTACATCTGAGATTATGCATGCAGTAGATGCTGGGTTCATCTCAAGACAAACAGTGGGAGTCTTACAAGGCGTGGCCGCCCCCACTCGTCGCACACACTTTATTTAAAAAGAAAGTATACACATGCCAGACTACATGAGTTTCCTAAAGCACTAAACTCTAATATGTACATCACACACACAAAAAACTGGATCCGTTACTGTGCACCCCGTCCCTGTCATAATCCTGTTCATATACATTTTTAATCAAATGTTTAAAAAAATTTTTGGCAGAAGGCATGTTCAAGATTTCTGCAGCAGCTTCCCATAACCCCCTCTGGCGGGGTCATAGTCCTGCCTGTACTCATCTCTGACCTGGAAACACACAGAACAAGCTTGTAAAAACTGCTCCGGTGTCTGGTACACAGATTTACATTACACCCAAACAGAGCCACATAATGCTGGATCATGGAAAATAACACTGCATGTACACTGGGGTCCAAAAGAGAGACATATCAACAAAATACTGAAAATTGAGACATTGAAAAGTTGAAAAGAAAATTATATATATATATATATATATATATACACACAGTGTTGAGGGTAACGCATTACAAGTAACGCGAGTTACGTAATCAGATTACTTTTTTCAAGTAACTAGTAAAGTAACGCATTACTTTTTAATTTACAAGAGAATACCTGAGTTACTTTTTCAAATAAGTAACGCAAGTTACTTTTTTTTTTCCAATTTATTGATTGACAGCTCTCCTG